TTTCGTTAACCAAGACACTAATTGCGTCGCTCCGAACCCCAACCCACCCTGAAACCCACATCAACCTTCATATTTATATTAGTACATGTCTCCCGGGCGCTTCGCGAGGTCCACCCAGCACCGTCCAGGGTTTACTGCTTGGCAGTGCTAGCTAGGGTTGGAGCACAGGTGACAGGATACCGTATATTTCCTTGTAAACTTTTATATTTGGACATTCTCAACTGCACATATGGTATAAACGGTCAGACAAGCTGAGACGGCCCCGAGCGTAAACCTAGGCACCCACAATATAAACCCATGGCCATATTGAGCCGAATGTCCTGAATACAGCCCCACATCCGGCCCATACGTGCTCGGACACAAAATATCGAGCAACGCGAGATACCGGTATGGGCAAGAGAAGTTGCATCAGGGGCATTCCCGAGCTCGTGAGTAGAGGGACCACCATTGACCACCATGGTACACTACGTAGCGCTCATTTACATGTGGCCGCCATGGATAGCTGAAAGCTTGGCCAGTGGCATAATCAGCTTGTGGAGGGCCAAGGACGGGTGCTTTATTTTTGAGGATGCTCGTATGGAACGGGTGAGCTTGCTCTGGGCTTCAATCTTGGGACGAGGACTTTTCCAGGCTGTCGCATGGGTTGTTTTGCTGTGTCACAGCGTATTCTGGCTAGCGAGTATGTTCTGCCTCAGTTTTGGAGCTTTTGTTGCTGAATTTGGTTACATGCTAAAATCAAAACGGGCTGGGAGAAAGTGTTTGCCTGGTGTGTGGACTTCTTGCACTCTAATATCTGTCTGGTGGCTGCAGTCTTGTCGGTGTCATGATTGTGGTCTGTTTTCAGCTGGACTTTGTTCCGTACTTTTGCACGTTGTTTCTGGAAAGAAGACAGTGTAGAAATATTTTGCTCGTTGTGTTTGCACAATTCAGGGGGAGTGCTGAAAGGCAACCCCCTCTTCCTTTGCATGGGGCATCGACTTTAGCGAAGGTTGAGGCACACTGCTGACATGGTCACAAAATTGGGCGAAAACCCTACATTGGAGGTTATCACAGAAACAGTAGCCACGTCTAGCGTTTTTCCCCAGCTTGGCAGATTCCCCAACATGTGTACAGAGGTGATCTTGATTACGGTTGGCTGTTTACTTGTGTAGATATTACGATTGGCTGTTTACTCTTTACTCGTGTCGAATTTGTCTGTCAAAGTATTTCCTTCCAGTATGAACTTTGTAAGTTGCCATGAACCTGTGATTGAAGGAATACAACATTTTAGAGATAAAATTGCTGAGTATCTAAGAACGCGCATTCAGCTTCCAAGTCCCTCGCAAGCGGATCGTGCTACTCTATATTGAGAACCCTCTTCTACTTGCAGGCAAGGCAGGTGAACCAATCTAGTATAATGCAGACCCCCCACAGATGTAAGTAGGGGGGAAGTGAATATGGCTGGGCGTATAATGGCTTCCAGCCTGCTGGTCTTCTGCTGCTTAGGAATAGTCGCCAGCCTGTGCACAGTCGCGAGTGCGTTAGGTAGCTCTGGAGGGAGGCGGTTAACAGCAGGGGGCCTTGCTCCATTCTCCCAACCTGCTCTTAGCGATTCGCAGAGCATAGAACTTAGGAGCACGGAACCAGGGAGCACAAAGCTAGGGAGCATGAGACTAGGGAGGGTGTCTGGACGAGAGCTAGTAGACTCTGAGGCGAAGATGAACGGGAGCACGTTGCCCGGAAAGATCCTCTCGGCGCAGCCCCCGCTTGCGAACGAAGACCTCGGCTCGTTGCTCAAGCTCCGCTCGGCCTGGAACATAGCCCCTAGCTTCTGGAACGAGTCCCTCAACCCCTGCGGCCCCTCCGCCTGGCCCGGAGTCCGTTGCTCGCTGAGCGACATCCGCCAGCGAGTAGCGTTCCTCACGAACCCGTACCTGGCATTTGGCGACGGGAGAGTGTTGACCGGCACCATTCCAGAGGCGATCGGCGACCTGTCCGCACTCGAGGGCGTCAGTTTGGATTCCACGCGATTGACTGGAAAGTTGCCGGACAGCTTGGGCCGGCTCATGAACCTAAAGTCGCTAGTCATCACTCGCAGCAACCTCACGGGCCCCCTCCCGTTCGCCATACGTGCGTGCGTGAACCTTACAGAGTTGGACCTGTCTGGGAACCAGCTCTCGGGGCCGATCACTCCGGGGGGCCAGCCTTTGGGGCTGCAGAGTTTAAACGTTCAGGACAACTTCCTCACGGGAGAAGTGCCTGAGGAGCTGGCTGGGCGGCTCAAGCAGCCGATCATGGTGAGCGTCGCTCACTTTGTCATATCAGTGAGCTTTTGCATGATTGAGCTGGCAACATCGCATCATGCCTGCCTCACTGTGACCTGTTGAATCCAGAACACTCTCTTGAGTTTCTGTTGCTGGCTCTTGTCAAGAATGTCAGGGGTCTAACTCTAAGGGGGTCTAACTCTAAGGTGGCATCGGAGCGGCCCTCCTGCCAGAGGACTGAAGTTGACATGTTCTGATGTGAGTATGTTGTACGACTAGACTGAAGGGGAAACTAATACTGACATCGATTTGCAACCCTGTTGATTCTTTTCTTTCTTTCATCTGTTACTTTCCATTCTTTCCGACACTCCTCTGCATGTGCTGTTCAGGGACGCATCTCTGACAGCGAGTTCTGACAAATTGATTCAAAATGGGCACACTTCCACGGGCCTGTGTTCTCCTTACCTTAAATCATAAAATCTACAGTCATGTCTGTCCTTGTATATGAAGTATCTTGCTTGTCGGCATTGCCACTCCCCGCTCTTGCAGGCTATTCTTATAATGCTGGGCACTCTATCTTATTGCTGGAAGCTAGTTTGTTCTCATCAGTTCTTCTGAAGAGCAGCATGTTGTTTACAAGCAAAATTGCGGCCCCCGCATTGTAAGCGGCAACCACAACCAGACGTTGTCGAGCTATTCGGATTCGCAAGATGTGCTCTCAATACCGGGATGTTCAACTTGAGTGGCAGCCTCAAGGACTTTGCAACTTCATCCGCTTCTGGTACTAATGTAGGGCATTCTGCATGAAGAGCTACGTCAGGGCAACATAGCGACCTCGGAAACTCTTGGAGACTGTTGTTCAAACACAAAGTGCAGCCCCCCATTCATGCCACTCCCTCCCGGGAGTGATTCGGTTATCCCCCATTCCAACGTTCTTCCAACAAAAGGAAGGCAGGGGGACTTTTTGTGTATGGGATTCTTCAACAATGATAGATTGCAAGAGAAAGAGGATATGCTGTTAGTCAGAAAGGAGGACAATTGCGAGAAGGTTAATCTGACCCCGCATCCCATCTTGCAGGTGCGTGGCAACTGCATGGAGACCTCCGTCAACGCGACACAGCGCCCCCAGGAAGAGTGCAACGCTTGGTACACGCGCAACCGGCCCGACCGCCGCGTCCTCCAAGGCATTCGCCTCGCGTGGGCCCCCGACGGCTGGTTCGACTCCGAAGACCCGTGCACTCCGGGCTCGCCCGGGTGGCAAGGCGTCACGTGCGATCACGTGTTCGGCGTCAACGTGCTTGCAATCGACCTAAGCAACACGGTCATCGAGGGTGACATGTCTGAAGTCCAGTTTGAGGGACTCCCCCACTTGGAGCAGCTGGTGCTGAGCGACAACCCCGGGCTGCAGGGGGTGATCCCCCCGGCCCTAGCGGCGCTGCCGAACCTGACGGTGCTGTACCTGGACCGGTGCGCGCTGCACGGCCCGATCCCCAACACGTTCGGCAACAGCTCGATCGCGGCGGCCGCGTTCGCGGCCCAGGAGCTGGCCGAGGCGCTGAACGCGACCGGCCAACCGCCGCCGCCGCTCGCGCTGAACCTCCGCGGCAACTGGCTCAACGGCAGCTTGCCCTCCTTTTTTGAGTATCTAGACGCGAGAGTATTTGGCGAGAACTGCCTAGACTATTCGTCGGAGCTGACCCCCCCGCCAAGTCAGCGCTCCCCGGGGGCGTGCGCGGCCTTCTACCGGCAGGTCGAGCAGACCCCCCCCCAGCGGTCCGTGGACCCCGGGGCGTTTCCGTTCCGATCGGACCCCCGACTACCGCTGCAGCCCCCTCCAGGTCCGTAGTATACACCTGACTTTGATCGACTTCGTCGTCTTTTTCCATCTCTTGTTGCTATATCTTTGGGCCTGGTTCTTGAGTCAGCACTGGCTTCTTTTACGCTCCATTAGTCGTTTGCTTCTGTAGCGCGGCTCCTAACATGTCAAGCTTCAGGTCTGTCTCGATCTTTTTTCATCAATCCATCTCCGTCACTCTGCTTTCTTCCTTCGCTTCATTTCCTCTCTGTGCTGCAAAGTGCCTCGTCCGTCTTCAATTCTGGGGCTCCTCGTTGTCTCCAGGTTTGCACCCCCGTTTCACGTGCTCATCGCTAACTTGTAAAGACTTTCAACTACAGCATTCTGAACAGCAAGAATCCGCGGTACTTGCAACTCTCGGCTGACGCAAACATCTGTTTTCCTGGTGCAGACGAGACCGACAAGGGCGGCTTGGTCGCTGAGTACATCTCTGTGATCGTGTTGATCGTCGTCTTTTCGGTGGTTGGAACACTAGTCGCGGGGTGGTGGTACCGGCGGCGAAGGAAACGGGAGCACTGGAAGCGGTTGCCCAAGGACGAGGTTCCGCACGAGGAGTGGCAGTTCGAGGCGATGGCCGGAGACCTTCCGCAGTACAGCATCAGCAAGCTGAAGCAGGTGGGGTTGCGCCAAAGCGCCACCCGTGTTGTCCTTGCAGGCGACTAGCAACTTCGCGATCGAGAACTGCCTTAAAAGAGTTGCTGCTGACTTGAACACTATTTTAAAGTCGCTGGCTGACTTGGGAGCTGCTATATCCCTCATTCCTTCGATCCTGTCCTTTGCAGATGATTAGCAACTTCGAGGGGTTGCTGTCGTCGAATTGAGTATTACTCGATTCGTATTCAAATGGTAGAGCTTTGAGTTTCCTGATGCTTTCTTTCATGTCCTTTGCAGATGACCAGCAACTTTGCCATCGAGAACTGCCTGGAAGGTCAGCCTTTGCTCGTGGACGGGCAAGACCCGCGAACATCCCTCCTGCTCATGAACAGTAGCAGCAACAGCATCCGGGACCTATTCACACTCCAGAGTTCCGTTAGCCCCGGCTGCCTATATCGGGGGTACACCTCCTTGACTGCCGTCCTAGTGCGCCAGCTCCCCCCTAGAAGAAATGAACCGCAGAGAAAAGGGGTTCTGAGGATGAGATTCCCCGGGTTTCGGAGGAAGCAACGGGTTGTGGCCGGGGGGGATCCCCCAGAGCAGAAGGGGGTGAGAATAGGCCCCCAGAAGTTTCTTGCGGCGGTCGGGGCGATGCATTGGGCGCAGCACCCGAACCTGGCGAAAGTGCGCGCTTACAACCGGGCCAAGAACCGGTCCTGTTTTATCGTCTGGGAGGGTTTTGGGCAAACGATTCCGATCACTGTCAGGGACGCCTTGGATGGGGGCGCGGTGAAGGCGTTTTCAGGGGAGCAGGATGCGAGCGTGTTGTTCCTGAATTGGACCGCCAGGTACGTAACTAGTCAACTCAAAGACGAAGAGGTCTGGAATTGCTCGTTTGTTGCCCCACATCTCGGCGTCGTTTCGTTCAAAAGTGGATGCTGGGTTGGTGGATTGTAGAGGCTTTCCTTGTGCTTTTTGTCGAGCTTTTGAGCCCCTTCTCTCTTGATTCTTTTCTAGTTCTTTATCTCCTTCGGTATCGCTCTTGTTTCATCCCTCTGTGTTGAATTGTTTAGACAGACCCTGGTAATATGTTACGCCGTGGAGCACCATGGTCAGGAGTGCTTTCCATGTTTTGATCTCTCAAGGAGCGTACAATGATCAAAGATAGCCGTGCTGATTGTGCTGATTGTGCTGAATGTGCTTGAACCTGTTGCCCATCAGTCCGTGTATTGTCTCTTTCGGTGCTCATTCTCATCCCTAAGTAGTCACTGTTCATTCAATCACAACGTTTCCGAACGCTGGTCAGCACGCGCTTCCGGAATCGCGCTTATTACGGGTCAGCACACTTTCCTAACCTGGGTCACGAGTGCGGTCGAGAGCAACCCAAACTCTTTCTCTTCCAGGTGGCGTGTGATGACTGAAGTCGCCTCGGCGCTTCAATACCTCCACGAAGAGCACCGCCCCGTTCTCGCCCACGGCTTCCTCTCCTCCTCCCGGGTTATCCTCGGCAAGGGCGGCAAACCCTTCTTAACCGACTTTTGCCTGTGCACCTACCTGGACAAACCCGCCTCGATCGTCGACGACATTTACGACTTCGGCGTGCTGCTGTTTGAGCTCATCCGGGGGCACCCGTTGGGGAAAGGGGAGGCGCCGCAGCAGCTGGTTAGGAAGGCGGTCAGTCTGCTAACCACGGGTCACGTCTCGGAGCTCCTGGACGTGCGGCTGGGGGGGCGCTTCAAGGAGGCGGAGCTGTCGGGGGCGGTCGCGGCGGCGGCCATGTGCATGCAGGTAATCAACGGGACATTACTTGCTAAATAATTTTGTAGATAATTTCAATTCATCAAGACTGTATTTTAGTGACCAGATGAGTTGGTGTGACTACGAAGAAGAGGGAGGAAATCTCAAGGTGTAGGGCTAGAAAGGGGAGCTTTCTGGAGCTGTTGTGGTGGGTATGCATGCAAGAAAGAAGTTCGTCATGCCATGGGCCCTTTCAATGATGACTCCGGCCATCGCAAAGGATCAAGCCAGGTATGTTCATCGCGGGTGAAAGATGCTCGCGAATTTTGGTCTGCCCACCTTTCACGGTGATGGTTAACTTTGGATCCTGGTCCGCTCAATTCCCCACCTCTTACATGCTGCTTTTCCAGCTTTCTAATCTCTTTCGATAGGTACAAAACGGAAATGAAAAGTCGACAAAGTTTTTGTGCAGGCTGACCCGCTAGAGCGTCCGAAGATGAGCCTCATTGCTCAGACGTTCCAGCGGTCCGAAGCCTTAGCCGACGAGATGGAAAACCCGTCCGGGTTAAGCACCCGCGTGCCCAGTTTCGAGACGGGTTTCGAGCCGGTTTCGATGACCCATTTCCTGGACAAAAACCTGGCGGAGACGAACAATCCGGAGTGGGGGGGTGGCGACGTGGAGATGACGGCTCGGGGGGAGCCCCATGAAGAGGCCACGATTGGGGGGGGTGGCGAGGACGGGGGCCTCGAGCGACCCCCCATGACGATGCACGTCGCAAGTTCCGTTTGGGGGGGCAGTTCGGACAAGAGCTCGGCGGAGCTGCTGAATTACCAGGGGGAGGCAGAAAACCACGCCCCCTGGCCCCCCCCAAGGGCAGATCATGCGGAGGGCGTCCCTGTGTATCAACCCGGGGGTGAACAGAACCGTCAGCCGGGCGGGTTCGACAGACCCCCCGTAACGATCGAGGGCGCAGGGTCGATCTGGGGGGGCAGCTCAGAAGCCTCGTCGTTGGGTCCGCAGCCGCTGGGGGGGGGTCCGGAAACGCCGGCGGTTGGGGGGGGTGAAACGGGAGCGCGGAATGGGGGGGTCCCTTTGTGGCGGCATCAGGGGGGGCGGGAGCAGGACACGGCGTCGGATAAGTACCGGAGCTGGATGATGGGGGGGGAGCTGCAGATGCATCCCGAGCATATCAAGCTGGGGACGTTGCTAGGGCAGGTGCGTTGCCCTTTTTCGGAGCTCTTTCAAAATCAGAGTCGTTTTTGCGGGTGCAAACGCCGTTCAGAGGTCTTTTGATGGAGGCTCTGTCGTTGTCTGGACTTGTTTCTGCTGAGTGCAAACTTCTATATTAGGGCCTTTGCATTCTAAGCAGTCTGCTACGAGAAGATATGTTTCTTTGAGCCGTGTAGAGAACTCAAAGTTGGAGATCACATGGAACATACGCAGAACTGTGTTTTCTGGAAGGTAGAAAGCTGCTCTGAGTTGTGTATCCCGCCCGGACGGATTGGGCAGTCCTACTGGGGGGCGGGCGCTTTGGTAAAGGTCAGACCATCATCTTTCTGATCAACCGAGCTAGAACGCGAGAGAATCTGGAATGGGGACGAAAACGAATCGGAAAAGGAAAGGGAACGAGAAAGAGAACGCACCTGCAGCGCTGCTTCGAGCCAACGGACCGTGCGGCATTAGGTAAGAATGACGTGTTTCGTTGCGATCTGTGGGGGTGTGAATAGAGCAGGACTCAACAATCAGAAGCAAACGGAACTTGAAGTCCTCTTTGCAGGGTTTCTTTGTCATGTTCACCATGCGGTGGAGCTTCGGCAGTGCGGCCATACAAATTAGGAATTCTGACGCAGACTCAGAAACGAAATTGAAACGGAACGAAAAAGGAATGAGACTGATTCTCTACCTGCAGGTTCGTTTGGGCGGTCTGCAGGTTCGTTTGATGCCCTGTGGTTTGAAACTGGATCTGGTGAATTGTGTGGCTTGTTTTTCCATACGGCGTGGCATCCAGAAGACAAATGAGCAGGAATCAGGGTCGGAACGGAACGGCGATGGAACGAAAACGGAATCTCTGTCCACAGGGTTTGTTTGGGCGGGTCTACCACGGGGTGTGCCTCGGGATCGACATTGTGTTGAAGGTTTGTGCATCAACCTCTGTAACTTTCAACCAACTTTTCATGAAACGGAACGGAAACGGCGAAAACTGAACAAGAACGGATGTCTGTCTGCAGGGTTCATTTGGGCGGGTCTACCATGCGGTTTGGCTCGGGACCGACATTGCGGTGAAGGTCATCCCGGACATTGAGGGCGAGGGCCTCACGAGCGTATGGCGCGAAATCGTGATCCTGCGGAAATTGCGGCATCCCAACATTGTGCTGTTCATGGCAGCAGTCGAAGTCCCGTCGTCTAGGGAGGTGCGTGACGCTTATCAAGTTCCTTCTTTTGTTTCTCTGTATGTGTGTCAGCTGTATGTGTGTCAACCGTTGATATTACAGCAGCTGAAGATTCCGAGAGGGGAAAGTTATGTTCCGAGGGGGGAAAGTTATGTTCCGAGGGAAGAAAGTTATGTTATGTTCCGCTCTCTACTTGGGGATATTTGACGTTGCTTTGCACTGGATCCAGACATAATCTTATCCGAGTCTGCGAACATGCGGACTGCGGCATTTCGGCATCATGCCAGATCGGTAACGGTAATGTTTCTATGGTCCAAGTGGAGAAGGGCTCCGGGGTTGTGGTTATAGGTCCAATTTGAAACATGTCAAGGAATTTGAAGGCGGAAAGTCATATCAATCCAGGACCCAAATACCTTTTTCCGAAGTTACACTGACCGGGAATTCCTGTGGGGGAGCTTCTTGGCTATTTTCGAGTGCACAGTGAGCTTGAGAGTCTCACTCGAAAGCTCAAACTCTTCCAAGCCGGAGGCAATGAACACATATTCCGTCTTCACATGTGCACAATGTGATTATAATTGAGGCGCACAGGAGTCTTGTCAACGTCTTTCACCACCCCATGAGCCGCCAGTCTTAAGGATCACTAAACCCTTTGAATTCCTGGGAAACTGGCCCGGCATCTGTCGTATTACGGGTGTACATTGCGACCGAGTACCTGGCGCGTGGGAGTCTCTTCGACGTTTAAGCACGCTGGGCCCATCAGCTTATTGCACATTGAAAGCGACGTCAATTCCAGAGGTTTGGAACCAGATGCCACGTAAAACCACTTGGGCTTTTCTCACTCTGCACGTACTTTCTACTAGCAGGTGTACATCGTCACTGAGTACCTGGCTCGCGGGAGTCTCTTCGACGTGCTTCATCGCGAGCACGCCCCTGAGCCCATCAGTCTCTCGCAGCGCCTCTCGTACGCGCTCGGGGTCGCGCGAGGGATGGGCTTCTTGCATCTGCAAGGACTGGTGAGCCGTCTCCCTCCCCCCGATTTCGGATCTCGTTCTTCAGGGCCAACCGGGGAAACCTTTGGCATCGAAGTCGCGTTACTTCTTCGTTCACACTTGCTGCGCCTTTTCGTCGGGGTCGCCTTCTTTCTTAACTCTTGACAAACGAGAGCGAGCGTTTTCTTGTTATAAAGGAAGCTCTAAAATTCAGTGAAGTCAACCATTTTGGCTGGCTTCACGCGCGCACGCCTGACTGCTGCTCTTTCTGTGGGTGGCGTCCTCATGCCTTCGTCGTTCTGGCCTTGCAAACATCCGCTTTCGTCGGCGATTAGCGCTTGCAGCTCTCGTAAGACTTAAAGCCCGCTCCCAAGCTTATAAACTATCTCCTTTGCCCATGCAGGTGCATCGGGATCTGAAGACGGGCAATCTGCTTGTGGGCTTGGATAATACTGTCAAGGTGAGCCGTTTTTCAAATTCGGAGAATTAGAGACCCTGCGCCTCGTGATTGTTTATATTCAAGCCTGATATCAAGTGCATGTCAAGACTTTTGAGCCCACAAATCGCAGAGTTGAAAGGTTCTCAGTCCTCTTTTGACAGACCCAATTGGAAACCAGTCACTCTGGACATCAACATCCACTTCCGTATACCCAGATTCCTGTACCTCTATTGTCTCTGCCCGTCGCCGCAACTCAGCGGTCTTGCAGTTCCTGCCTAAAAGCCAAGACTCTACGACAAAATCACGCATTCCTCGAATCCTATTCCTCTGTTCTCTATTTACTGTTCTGCCCTGCACCCCAACGTTCAACATTGGCGCTGTCCCCGTCATCGAAGTTCGAATTTCCAGCAAGCAGACCCTTCGTGATATCTGAAGTAATTGGCTGCATTCTCCAGGCTCCTATCAGTACCACGTCTTCTAAATCTGTTGTTCCATGTGCCGCCGCGTGTGCGATTGGGTCAGCTCCCGCTATCGAATTCAGCAAGCGGCCCCCTTTGAGAATCAGACAGGACACAATCCTCATTTTCTTGACCAACCATTTTTGCTTGCCGCAAGGTTTGCGACTTTGGGCAGTCCCGGTTATAAACCAGAAGTTGACCAAGCGGTCCCTTCATGGAAACCTGAAAATGGTGCTTTCAACAGTTCGTTTGTCAATCACTTTCTAACATAACACTGCAAAACTTAGAACAAGAAATACAATATTGTAGATTTGATTCCTTGACCAATCCTTTCTCGCCAGGTGTGCGACTTTGGGCAGTCTCGGTTATTAAACCAGAAGTCCAGCAAGCGGCCCCTCTCCACGCTTCGCGCCGCGGGGACCATCTCCTATATGGCCCCCGAGGTCTTCCGGGATCCGTCGATGGTCGACCAAAAGTGCGACGTCTACAGTTTCGGCGTCATTCTCTGGGAGCTACTCGCCCGAAAAGTTCCTTGGGCGGTGAGTGACAGACGATCTCGCGGCACTTGATTAGGATTTTGCGGCACTTGGTTCAAGGTTTTGGGTTGTGTAAAGGTGCTAAAGATTGCGGCACCCGTCCATTGTCGACCAAAAGTGTGACGTCTACAGATTCGGCGTCATTCTCTGGGAGCTGCTTGCCCGGAAAGTTCCTTGGGCGGTGAGTAATAGACGATCTCGCGGCACTTATTTACGATTTTGCGGTATTTAGTTCACGATTTTGGGTTGCGTAATCTTCTTAAAATTCCGGCACCCGTTGGAGGTCGATCAAAATTGCGCCGTCTACAGCTTTGGCGTCACTCCCTGGAAGCTGCTCCTCCGAGAAGTTCCTTGGGCGGTGAGTAAAAATGACGGTATGAACTCACATTTGCTGGATTCAGGGTGGTCAAAATTGGGTAAGGTTTCAACTTGGACGGTGAGTTGCAAAACGTTGCGGCACTTTTTCAGAGCTTTGGGTTGGGTATGGGTCTTTCAAGCCCCGGGACCTTCTTGGTCGACCATAATTGCGACGTTTAAGGTTCGGCGTCGTTGTTTGTGAGCTTCTTGAACAGAGAGTCTCATGGGCGGTGTGTTCAAGGATATCGTCGTGCTCTGGCGCTTCAAAGCTCCGCATAACCTCGTATCTCATGCTGATTTGAACACTCGAGATACGGTCTCCCCATTCTGTCCTTCATCTCGCGTTTGTATTCGTCTCGTGGTAGGTACACGAATCGTAGTACAGGACTGACACTCGGTAACATCACTGCAAGCAGATAAGCAATAAAGGAAGAGTAGGTCTGAATGAGCACGTTCTTTGTCCGCAGGGTGTGCACGAGCCTCAGGTGATCACCTCCGTCGCCGCCGGGTTACGGCCCCCGATCGCTGCAGGAGAATGGGACCCGGAGCTCGTTCGCCTTACAGAGGACTGCTGGCAGGACGACCCGCAAAAGCGGCCGACGTTTGAGGAGGTCATGGTGCGCTTGGAAACCATTTTGCGTACCCTCGGGGGCGCCGAGGAAGACACGAAACGGCAGATTCTGCTTTAGATGGCGGTGTGCGCGCACGGTAGTTTGGTCGGTCGGTGGACTGGCTGGATACGTTAGGTTAGATTGCTCGCAGTCGCGGTTGTGGTTGACTTGCCTAGGGGGGCTTTAGACGCTGCCTATAAGCTATGGCCCAATGTGTACTTTAGGTGTTACGACTGGCTTACGTTGAGTCCAGCAACGTGACTTCCAGAAACGATATCCACAGGACGGTTTTGTAAGCTCGGGCCTGGTTCGGAGCTTGACACGATCTCAGGCCGCATCCATAGGATAACGAAGGCCCGTTTGAGTTGGTTTGCAAACCCAATGAGTAGCTGAGGTGTACTACGGTATCACAGAGTTTCGATCTTATTGTTGTCGGATATGGCGGCTCGATCATTTCATGCAATTTGCCAGCATATATACGCGTTTTCAGTGCGCTCTGGATCTAGCTCTTGGGAGGATCGGCCGGAGTGCAGAAGCCGCCGCGCGGCTGGCCACCGCAAAATCATTAAAATTGGAAGCATACTCAATGCGATGCATGGTAACTTCCAATTTATTAACGCCCTTAGCCTCATTCAGCCATTGAGCACGGCCTCCGGCCAAGCCGGGATGGGTGTTCTTGACTCTACAACTTGCTACGGTTGTAAGTCATGTCCGGGTGGATGCAAGTAACCTAGACTGCATGCTAACAAATTACTCTAGCTAGCAAGTGCCTCATGCATGCCTGCGGACTCATGAAAGCCTGGCGGCTCTTAACAAATGATGCCCGGCGCCATTATTCATGAATATAATGTGCATGGTTAATTAGATTCTGATTTGATTAACGTCGGCGCACAACAATTGCATGCATGCATGCGACATGTACGATCATACATGGCACTAGTATTCAATTATGCATGCACCGGGGCGCAGGGCATGCGTGACATAGGGACCCATGGTACTACATAAACTTGAAACGTACGCGAATCTCCGTACGTGCATCACACCGAGAGTAATGCCAGCACTTCCATAAAGTCCGTACGGTATCATTGTAAGTTGACCTTGCCGCGCTAGTAGCTCAATTGTTTCAAGCAAATGATGCGCTTCGGAAGTGGCTGATTCCATTAAGCTAAGTAGGCCACGGTTGGTGGCCCGGCCGTGCTACAGTATGCAGCTCATAGGCAATCATCACAATGGGCACGCATGTGCATGCCAATCTTAAGGCAGTAAGTAGAGCCTTGACGGTATGCTGCAAAGTGTCCGCTTCATGCAGTAATACCATTTTTTCATCAAGCCGGCCACGCAAACATCACTCTGAAGGCTCAGATACCGGGTTTAAGATATCGGTTTTGCTTCTATATTGACTGCCTCCAAAACGTGCCGTCAAAACAGACGGTGTTGGAACTCTCACCTGGATAGCTCATATATTTGCTTCTTGACACCGCGGGACCAGCATGTCACAAGCTCAATTGCTCCGATTTCAAGATTCAATACCTCTTTCATGGTAACCCAACTAAAAGTCGGCTGGTGTCGTCCGCCCATATATGTTCTCAATCGATCCGCGCGCATCTATCAGTCGTCTTCGTGGCCGTATATATCCGAAACTTCCTGCTTCTCAACATCCCCCATCTCAAGCCCCTTCTGCAGACTCTCTGTCGACTCCTTCGAATCATTCTCATCGATCTGACACGTCAATTCCTGGGCCTTTGCCGCTTGCATCGGCCAGTCCGTTCGGAAAACGATCGCGCACACTAAGATTACTTGCACAATCTGCGCGCAAAAAAGGCCCATCCACATTCCGGGCACTCCCAAGTGGGCGTGGAAAGCGAGGAAGAGGGCGACCGGCATGCCAAACCCGTAGTACGACGCCAGGTTGATCACCAGGAAAATAGTGGGCCTGCAAGAACCAAACGCATCAGCGCCGAAAGAAAGCGCCAGAGCCCTTTGTGTTGGGTCACGTCTATTCAAGATTGCCAAGTATTGTGGTGAAGTGCGGCATGAAGGAAGAATGCTTTGTGAGCGAAGACTGCAACGCACATCCTGGAAACATGACTAGGCTGGAAATGGCGATAAAGGTACCCCCATCTCTTGGGTAACAAGCCATGCGAAGTACCGATACAAATCGAGAGGGTTTGCCCTTCCATCGCACAAAACAAAACTTTGACTGAAGACGAATATCGCATCCCATTTTCAGCTATACGACAACTTTCTTGCTTTAGACGGTCATCCTTCCTGCATCCGTCGTTATCTGGACCCTTTACATCCGACGTCTGGCAGATTCAAGTACTTTCGCAAGTGACGCGTAGGGTCAGTTCGATGGTTAGGGTGGGTATGCCCGTGGAGCGAACGGTTGCTTGGGTTAGGATTTTTGGTTTGGTGCCCGGGGCTTGTGAACTCACCGCGCCATCCCCCGGAGAGCCCCCGAGAGCGTCGTCTGCGGGCTGTCTGCCACGTGGCAGAGCGCCACAAGCGGAAGGATACTAGCGATCATTTTCAGCAGGTCCTCGTTATCGGTGAACAGCCGTCCGATCTGGTGACGTGTCAGTATCAGGATGAGCGCGGAAACGCCCCCCAGAAAGACGGACAGCCAACCGGCCACTTGCGTTGCCAACCGGGCGAAGAAGGGGCTGTTTGCGCCGAGCTCGTTACCGACGCGCGCGCTGCGAAAGGGAAACAGAAAGAGAATCAGGAACCGCGCTTGAAAAAGGGTTATATCAGTCAGCTTGGTTGCAGCTCCAAAAACGGGTGAAAAGAGTGTACGATAAGGTGGCCAGCGGGGCAAAGAGGGGGCTGGTTGCGCTGAGCTTGTTACCAACCCCGCGCACTGCCAAAAAGGCAAAAAAAAGAGTAGGTTAGGCAGGCGCGGTTAGGAGCAGGGATACTTCAGCGTAGTTGCCCATTGAGCTCCAAATACGAAAAACAAACCCCTCAGTAGCGTGATCAACCGGGCGAAGAAGGGGCTGTTTGCGCCGAGCCCGTTACCAACTCGCGCACTGCGAAAAAGGCAAAAAGAGAGTAGGTCGAGCGGCGCGAATAAGAGCAGGGTTACTTCAGCGTGATTGTCCATTGAGCTCCAAAAACTAATCGAAAAGACCTCAATAGGGTGATTAACCTAGCGGAGAAAGGGCTGTTTGCGCCGAGCCCGACCAACTCGCGGGCTGAGGAGAAGGAAACGAGTGGGTTAGGGACTGCGGTTAAGGACAGGGTTACTTCAGCGTAGTTGTCCATTGAGCTCCCAGAACTAAATCGAAAAGTACTCAGTAGGGTGATTCACCTAGCAGAGAAAGGGCTGTTTGCGCCGAGCTCGTTGCCGAGTCGCGTGCTGCGGAAAGGGCCAACAAAGTGTCGGTCATGAATCAACAGAAGGTGAACAAGGAAAGTACTTGACTTGTGCAATCAACTTGGCAAAGGAAGGGCCATTTGCACCCAAGCTCGGTCCCCAAACGCGTGCTGGAGACGAGAACTCTGGTTCCGAGAGCGACAGGGAATGTCGTTGACTCGAAGAAAACTGGAATAAAAGTACGTCAGCCCTGAACAGGTTACGAAAGGCCAACTTGATCAATCAAAAGCAAAGGCTCTTCGCACCGAGCTTGCTGACAATCTGTGCGATGCAGATATCGACTTGGATCTAGACTGTAGCAACAGAGCGAGAACGCTAAACCCCGCACAGAAGGAGACAAGGGTCCCCTTGCAGAGCAGAGTCTGTCTGCAACGAGCCATGCGCCTATCGGTATAGAATCTACAGTCAGAAGTCTTGCTATACCGAAGCGCGTTTTCCAGATGCATTTCCATGGTCTTTACATAATCTTTCCCCCCAAGAACCATAGCAGACGTCGCTTCGAGACTTGTAATAAAGACCCTAACAATCTGAACCAAAATCTGAGAAATCCTGAACCCTGAATGCCTCGTCCTCACCGCTTTACAGGATGATCAAGACTACCTCTCCCTACCTCCAATATTCTGCACAAACCCCGCCAACGAGTGAACCAGCCCGCTCACAACGGGACCACTTTGTATCCAGTCACAACGAAAACCCCACTGGAAATCACCACCACTCACCTCTCGTTCATACCAGCCCCCCCAAAAAGCGACTGAAAACGACCCCCCCTCACCTCAACGACGAGCTCATCGCTGCGGGGACCATGTACGCGAGCGCGCCGAAGTTGAGGCATACCGACATCACGGCTACGGATTCCACGGGGTTCTGCAATAAGGTATGATAGCCAACCATAAGCTATGGGAAAAGGCGGCGGGTTATGGAGACGTTTGGGCTCACCTAAGGGAGGAACTCAGTGCGGTGGGAACCATGTAACAGAGGCTGTCGAGGTTTAGGCAAACGGTCATGGCGGCGATCGAGCGGACGGGGTCCTGCGGAGCAGAGCGGAACAGCGGAATGACCGGAACGCCTAAAAACAGCTGCACTTTACACCTTACGTAACCTAGAGATTGAACCGACGAATCAAGTGTCGCTGGGATAAATACACACGATTAACGTGACGTTCCATCGGACAAGGTCCTGCTCGTGGAACGGAATGACGGAATGACCGGAACGACGAGGAAGACTACACTGATCATCGTGGAAACCCTGAAAATATCCAACACTCGAACCCATAGATGAAGAGTCTGAGGTGCCGGTTTCTTGGACGGATTCCTGTGGAGGGGAACGGAAGAGCAAATGGAAACAGCGAAATAACCGGCTTGCATGCGAGAAACGGAAATAAGGGAGGAAGAAAGCTTGGGAGAAACCATAACTTGAGCGCGACTGGGGACCTCATGCGAAAAAGGTGCATGTGACTTGCCGCGTTTCGACAGCTTTCACGCACAATATAGCCGGATGGGATTCTTAAGAGGAGAAAGGACAAATAGGTCTACCCTATCCACAACCGAAGAAGCGCTCTTATTGAAAACATGGGCAACTTGCAAACGACGAGTCGGTAAAGCGAAACGCAAGCAGGACAATGTCGCAAATCGAAGGCCAAGTAAAGATTACCAACACAAGATTCAAGTAAGCATCCGAACAAGCGCGTGTAAGCACACGGAGAACTTGCAAACGAGCCCATTGACTCAAGACACAAGACACTCGAGGACAGGATTGAAAAAGTGAAAATCTCGAAGAGATCCACAGAAGCAACCAAAATAGCGCTCGTAACCAAACGGAGGTCGTGCAGACAGGTTCAATGAAACGAAAGCGAACTAGGTCATAGGTCTCAACGGGCAGGTAAGACGACAAAAAGAGGGACGCAGCTTACCTTCAGCAAGCCCGCAAAGAGCAGCAGCAATTCGTAGCACCACCACTCAAGACACGTGGCAACACAGGAAGGCGCCGCCAATCTGCAGCAGGTGACACGGGTAAGTGCTCGGATAACCGGTGCGTTTCGATTTCGCATTAACTGGAATCCTGTGCGAGCCCCTTGTTTCGGTCCCGGTTGACCGAGTCAAAAGCACCGCCTCAGAAGAGACGCACCGACTGAAAAGACGCAAAGCTTGGACGACGGGCAATCACAGATGTAGCTGAGGGTATGGGCGGTGGACCAAAGGGAGCCAAGCAGGGAGAGGCGAAGTCGATTACAGAGGAAAGCCTCGCTCTTTGAACTTGATCGCACCTGATGTTGGCAGTCAGACATTCTGTGATCCTCTCATTGCAGCCATTGCCGCACCTTTGAAAGCAGCTCAAAGGCAAATCTGGTCAACCTTAACGTGCCAATTCTGTCTTCGATCATTGCCAAGAGAGTCAGAAGATTTCAGCCTCCGTCTCGAAGAGAAAAGCCGCCCGGAAATACCCCGCTCACCGCAAAACCGACTTCATATCAAAAAGCAGCTCTTCGAGGAAACCCGGTCCACGACTTTATGTGAACGCCCAGGCAGCGGATGTAAAGAACCATGAGGAACAACAGGTTGAAATTAGTGTAACCCTTTGGAAATAATCATCTCAAAAGACAGGCAACCGAGAATAATGCAATCTACCGTAAGAACGGCCCCCATTCCGAGAAACAGCTCCGTATTGGAAATCCGGTCCACGACTTTTTGTGCACGCCCAGGCAGCGGATATACAGAACCATGAGGAACAGCAGGTTGAAGTCTCCAAACCCTTTTGGAATGAAACCAGATTCCTCAAATTCGAAAAGCCCACAACTTTGGGGAAAAGAATTTAGGAGCAGAAAGCCGACGTACCGCAGGAACGGCCCCCACTCCGAGAAGCAGCTCCGTATTGAAAATCCGGTCCACGACTTTTTGTGAACGCCCAAGCAGCGGATGTAGAGAACCATAAGGAACAGCAGGTTGAAATCCGTGACGCCAGACGCGAGAGCCGCCCCCGCAGCGCCCAACTTGAGGCCAAAGATGAGCAGGAAGTTGATGGGCACGTGGAAGATGAAGGCGATGACCGCGCAGGGTATGAGCGGAAACGTCAAGCCCTGAGTTGCAAAAAGGAGGAGTTGTCACGAATGCAGATTTAAGGCGCGGGTTGTGAGGAAAGAAAAAGAAAGCGACCAATTTGAGGCCCGAACGACAGGTAAGTTGATGGGCACGTGGAAGGTGAACGCAATGACCGCGCACGGGATGAGCGGGAAAGTCAGACCCTGAAAAATTGCACAAAGACGTATTGTGATCAGTTGAGGTGGCTGTGAGGAGAAAAAGGGATAGGGCCCAAAGGTGAGGCCGGGGATGAGAAGAAAGTTGATGGGCACGTGGAAGATGAAGGCGATGACCGCACGCGGGTTGAGGGGAAACGTTAAGCCCTGGTATGCGAATGAAAATCAGTTCAGTTGTGCGCTATGATTGCGCAAGTTCGATTGCGATGCGAATAATAGGGCCCAGATTGAGACCGAAGATGAGCAGGAAGTTGATCGGGACGTGGAAGATGAAGGCAATCACCGCGCACGGGAGGAGCGGGAACGTCATCCCCGATGCAAGCAAAACGATGATATGTCAGATGGGCGCAACTCTTGCCTATGAATTGTTCTTACCCAGAAGGTTGACCGCCCAACTTGAGGCCGAGACTGAGAAAGAAGTTGATCGGGGAATGGACTGTTGAAGCCCAGTACTGGCGCATGGATAAGCGGACAGATATACCACCGACTTTTCGTGCAATGTCTGCACCCTGCTTCATTGGAAGCAGATAGAATACGTAGAGACCTAACCCTCCGGCACCCTCCAAGTCCGGTCTGAAGGCGGGGAAGAAGCTAATGATCTCGCACTTGCAAGGACCGTAGTCAAACCGCATCAGCTGCGTCCCTTCCACGAGCGATAAGGTCGGGCATCAGCTACCAAGGATTCCTCCCCACTTCATGAAGAACGTTAGTCAGTCCTGTTTTCTCAGAAGCAGCAAGAATACTCTATAAACCTGACACTCGAGCGCTCTTAAGCCCGTAAAGAGATAGGAGAATGGTTTCAACGCACCTGCGATCGTAGATATACCCGGACTGGGTGCGCCGCCGCAAGAGCAATCAGGTCAGAGATTATCCAACGGAGATACCGCCCCTCCTTCCGCACAAGACTAGCGGCCCCCTCCATAAAAAGCAGCTTGAAAACCGTAACAAGTAAGGACGAAGTTGGATTCCCCACCTGTGACCGCAGATACACCCGCACTGGCTGCGCCCCCGCAAGCGCGATTAGGTCGGGGATCATCCACCGGAGGTACCGCCCCGCTTCTCGCGAAATGCCCGGGTCCTGCTTCATCAGGAGCAGCAAACTTTCCGCGTTCGCCCAGATGACAATAATCGGAATGCAAGCAAAGAGGAGAATGACGATCCCTCGGTTCAGAATGCGGCCCATTGTGTGGTAGCGCTTCGCGCCGTAGGCCTGGGAGATGAGGGGCTCGAGGCCGGTCGAGAGGCCGTACAAAATGCTGCGCAGGAGAAAGTAAAGAACATCAGAATCGGCAGTGCGAAAATTGGGTCCTTTGAGCAATCCAAGTTCAAATGCGGCCGTTTTGTGATAGTGCTTTGAGCCGTTTTAACTGGAAGATAAGGGACTCTCAACTGGTCGCCAATCTGAACAAGATGCTGCAGGACAGTGTGATAATAAGCGCTTGGCTGGTTATGATAAGAGACTTCAGTTCGACTAAGTGAGAATGAAACCCTTCTATCTGACAGGGAAAAAGAGACCTGCTGATGCCTAGCGCCATGGGCTTGGTAGATAAGAAGCTCAAAACCCGTTGCTGAAACTTACAGGATGCAGACTCGAAAAGGGAGATGGGGCAGAAACTCAAGAAGAATACACTCTGATGTGCATGGTAGCGTGCTGTTCACCTGATCCAAATCTCAGAACCGCTCTCTAATACCTTACCAAAATGCTTACGCGGACGCTTGAAGTAAGCGTTTGGGAGAGTGAATCATCCCCAAAAAAGGGTCTACGAAAGGTGTCGCAAGCAGTGAACGGCGAGATGGGTTCTGCTTTTAATGATCTGTGTTCTTCAGAATGGAACAAAACTGCCCAGCAAATCATCCAGGAAAGCATGACACGCTTGTCATGAACACCTACAGAACCATAGATGTGCGCACGCCTGTATCGAAAATCTCAAGAAGTCTGAAAACCTCTACTATGACACATCAGGATTGTACCTGCCCCCTGCCGCCAATGAGATATTTCAGCGGAGCAGACAAAAATCAAAGCGTCCACTTGGATCCTGACCACTCTCCATTCTTGACAAACTTCTCAATCCAACTTGGGCAAAGCGAGAATGATTCCATCTGGAGCCAACCAAGGCTTGGCAGAAAGATGGATAAAAAATTGTCAGGCACTTGAAGAGAAGACACCGTTAAGCCACCTAGAACCGTTTGTGAGTCCGTTCCCACCTGTAACCAGTCACGTTTGCCAGCGAGATAGCCAACGAGCCAGCCGCCAGCTCCAGCTCGCCCAGTCTCCCCAGGAAAATCATGGACACAATCGACCGTAGAAACCACACGACGTTCATCCCCATGATCGGACCCGCAAGCGCCCCCTGCTTCGCCACCTCAGCAAACACCTGGCGCCTCGAGGCCCCATTCACACCGATCCCTTCTTCCACGCTCCACTCAGTGCCGTCGCTCCACCTGACGACCTTGTGCCGAGAACCGATGTGAACGTGCCCCTCGAGTTGGTTTCCGGCGCGAAGAACCTCCCCGTTCTGCCGTCCGGTGTGAACGGGCCCCTCCAGAAGTAGCCGCTCCTCCTCCCCTTCGCTGTCATCGCCGTCACTCCACTGTGAGTGGACATGTTGCCGGCCAGTGTGAACGGGCACCTCATGCCGGTGTCCAATGTGAATGGGCGCCTCAGAGCGGGACAAAAGGAAATCGATTTCACGAGGCTCGGACCCTGACGCTTCTGGGTAGGGGACTCCTATGTGGCGATGATGTGGCTCGGGACTGGTATTGGAAGATAGTCGCACGTCCGACAGGATGCTATCGACCTCTGGCCCAGATCCTTCTGCGTGCAAAGCGGGCCCCATTTCAAAAAAGTGCGGCGCTTTGAGGTGATTTCAAAATTGCGTGCAACCTGCTTCCGTCTAACTGCCACTAAAGTTGAGTGGTCGAGCTTTAGAGGGTGCACAAGGCAACAAGGCTTATTTGGTACCCTTGCTGCTGGCCTATGCCTAGCGTGCCCGATGTCAAGAAAGTGACGACTAGGTGTCCCGTCCTGATGTGAGGCGTTTGATCAGTGGTGGTGCACTTTGGGGAGAGGTTGCCTAAGTGTGCTGTCAACAGAGGCAGCTGATCCTCTCATGTAGGAAATGCGGCAACTGCAGAAGAGGAAAAGCAATCAATTCCAGATCACTGGAAGACGCTAACGCACGAGGTGGCGACCCATGCTTTCGAAGGGGAGCCTAACACTAGTAAACTCTAATCTTATGTATGCAGAGACAAAAGGCATAATCTGTAGCAAACTTCCTAGTATGGCAGACGCTTAGAAAGTATGTCCAATATTTCTTTGGTTTTGGGAAGGCAGAAACTTTGATGAGCAAAATATGCCCCTGTTGCGAGCACCTGTCAACAACCAAACTCTAGAACCGCCTCAAATTTCAAACATTTTCTAGTAGTCACGGAGCTTCTGCTTCAAATTGTTGCTACATGTCAACGAAGCATAAGTCTTCTTAAGCATCAGTACACAAAGAAAACCCTTCTTAAGAGTCCCAGCTTATGAAAGTTCTTTGGAGGACGCTGATAGAAGGCGTCCATGGAAGCAAGCGAAAAATAGATGAATGTTTCACTCCCTCTACTAAAATCAGCAACTCATCAGCTGCCTTGCTTACCCTTGCGCACACAGCAGCAGCGTAAACCGAGCTTAGGACAGAGACAACAAGATCTGCATGGTTTACTTTTGCGTGGCCCTCTGCAACTCTAGTCAGCAGCAAGGCAGATTGCTTCCTTCAGGTGCAGCATAAAAGAGTAGAATGGAAGTGGTCAACAAAAAAATTGCTTCTTAAGCGCACCTGCCGGCTTGGCAGGATGAGGAGGCTTCAAAACATGCAAGCTACACTTCGCCGCTGCAACTTGCAAGTGCAAGGATGCAACATCATGCAAAAGAGAAGACCGTTTTGCTTCACAGCCTTCCTGAGCAGCACACTTGGCATGAATATTGATCGGGAATCAACTTGGGAATGGTGGTGACGTCTACGTCCGACAAGGTGCCCAGATCGAGTACGACCTATACGATAATGGATCTGCACCGTCCATCCCAATCCTTCGATTTATCGACGGAAGAAGTCTGCTTCATTGGTCGATCCGACGGCATCGAGGGCACGCGGTTGCGTAACCGACTCGGCACCGTCAATCATTATCAACCGGTACCGTCACCGTCATGGTACCATGTTAAAGGCTGGCTCGGTACTAACTGTTCCAAGCAGGACATATATGTACCGGCGATTGATTCCAGTTCCCGTCGTTCTAGTTTCAATTCGACAGTCAGATTTCAGGACTCAGCCCCCGAGCAGAGACCGGCTTATTCCATTCGGTTTGAGATAACCCACGGTGGTTCCGGATAGGCCGGTATAGGTATCAAGACTTACGCAGACTGGAGTGGGTGATGCGCCGTTACGACAGAGATCGGTTAGAGGTGACCGGTACAGAAGTGCTAAAGCCGCTTGAGTCCGTCGGCCGCGCATTACGCAGCACGCTGACGCTATGTGACGTCACGTCGGACAGCCTTGAAGTTAGCACCGAACGAACCGACATTACCGGGCCCGCTACTCAAGCACGTACGTGCCAGCGTACCGTTGACAACTTGACACTTCCGTAGAGGCCAGGAAAAGTTGCACAGACCTGTACTAGGTACATAGAGTTTCTCGGCCGGCCAAGGGCTCGATCCCCGTGCAGGCCGCAATACTTTAGTGTCAGGCAGATGGAGAACGGATGAACCACATCGGGTTGACACCATATGAACGCAAAACTAGAGCAAGCCTGTACCGAGCCCGACGACCGGCCACGAGTATTCTCTGCGAAGAAGACACCGCAGACTGCGGCCAAGGCCATGATGCAGGCCCGCGCTCGCTGAAAATGGAGATTCACAAGAATTTCTCCAATTTTGCGGCATTGCTTCCTTTCTTGGCTCTTCTGCAAGGGTTGCGCTGCGCGCAGCGGGGTTGCGGAGATCCCAACGCGCGGAGTGCCTTCGAAAGATTCTCGGCTGCCATAGTATTTGAAGAAGACGCTCAAGCCTGAGAACGCGGTCACAGGACCAAATGCTGCTGTTTACATCGGCACTGATGTGGCAGGACATATACCACCGGAGTACTCTTGCAGATCGGCCATGTCCTTTCTCGCGTGCATCGACTCAAAAAGCAGTCTTTGAGGTGCGCCCTCAAGAGTAGCTAGAGCTTAAAATCGCAGGAGGAGCAACGTCTCTTGCATCGAGCCCAAGTTGAATCACAAAATTGATCTTTAGCAGACGGTTTTGCGCTGATCGTCAGTTATGGAGAAGCGGAAACTCTTATCAGATGTCGGGGTCTGGGCCCTCAACATTGGCAGTTCGGTGGGCATCATCTTTGCTAACAAGCAAGTGCTCTCCGTCTTCGACTTCAAATTTGGTAAGTACTGCTGATCCAAGCAGACATGAGCATGCCGGAAAGTGTTCCCTGGCTTCTTTGATGTATTCAGAAGGCAAAAGCCAGGCACTCTCAGAGCCTTCTATTCGTTATGATGTAGAATTAGCCATCTTGGAGCACGTCTCAACAGGAATTCTTTTGTGGCAGTTGCATTACAAAGTTCATGTTATGCATCTCTGATGAAGGACATGTCCACTTCGACGGTTTTTATCATGGCATCGTTGACAGACCGCAGGTGTCCCTACAACCGGGCTCTTTCTTCAGACTGACCTCTAATGAGTCTTCTTTGAGTTCTGTTCCAAAGCAGACAGTTGAGATCCCTGATCTGTCAGTTGATCTTTACAGCATTATTTGAATTTACAGAATCTAAACATGAGTTAGAATAAGCTGAGCCGTGAGATCTGGACTATGGTTGATCACCATTCGCTCTCTGATTGAGGGATTCGTGTCAGATCTCAGGAAACCCCAAGTGCAAATCCCCAGCTGGATTCACCAGCTGCATAATGTGATATGGGCATCCATGTCAAAGCGCGCAATCTTACGCTCAGCTCAGCTCAGTTCAGCTGAAAATGTGCATATAGAGTCAGAAATGATTGATTGGTGCTTGAAAGTATTGAGTTTGCCTTATCATCAGCTACGGCACTGCTGATTGGTGCTTGAAAGTATTGAGTTTGCCTTATCATCAGCTACGGCACTGCTGATCAGGTCTTCAATAAAGTTTGGGAGCAGATTGACGGCACAGTGATGGCTTCTTTGTCGCAATCTGGCTCAAATCGCAGCATTGCCTTCCTCTGTTTTCTCTTTCTTCCACCGAAACCAGTTCTTGTAAAGAGTCTTGTGTGATTTGACAGCCACCTTGTATTCTATTTTGTCCACTATTTTTCTCTTCAAATTCCCTCCCAGCCTGACGATTCAACTCCAGCTCATGCCATTCAGCTACAGCTCCAAGCCTGACAAAGCTGACACCTCATCTCATGGGAGGATTTGCTGCATCAGTTACGGCATTCAGTAGCTGCTGATGAAAGGGCGGGGCAAGGAAAGAGCGTCAGCAGTGATCAATGACCTCCTGCAATCATGTTCGCAGCCAAAAGAGTCAATAATGCCTCTTCCCTCAACTGTTCACAGCCACAGAACAGACCATCAGATCTTCCCTGTGACAATTGACATTTGGTCCAACGGTCACAAGGGACTCCTTAAGCAGTCCAGGCTAACAGCAAAGGGGAGCAACTCATGTCATACCTCATCTGCTGATGCCAATCTGTGCCTCTTTGCAGCAACTACAGGGATCTTGTCAAGCTGACGCTGTCTCTGTTCCCACCTCCAGTCAAAGTGGACCACCTAACCCATCCTGGTTTCCAATCACCAGAGGCCTTCTAGAAGAGATAGTGCAGCCTGGACCTCCTTTCAACCAGACTCAGCCAGGAGTCGAGCAGCTTCTACTCACTTCCTTTCCAACTCGCTGGCAACAACAATTCTGACCATCATGCGCTTTCTGACCAAAAGCCTGTCCTCCTGACGTTATCCCGCTTATGCTGACGTCACTCCTGCAATTTGCAGCCACGTCGCTGACCATGATGCAATTTGGACCAGAAGCCTGGCCTGCTGACGTTTATCCCGCTCATGCTGACCTCACTTTTGCATATTTGCAGCCACGTCGCTGGCCGCGATGCACTTTCTGAATAGGAGCTTGTCCTACTGACGTTACCCCACTTATGCTGACGTCGCTTCCGCGCCTTTGCAGCCACGTCGCTAACCGCGATGCACTTCCTGGTGACGTCGTTGGCGGGGGCCCTCGGAAAGGCGTCGGGAGGCGTCATGTCGTCCGGAAAGACGGTCCCGTTCTGGGACATTCTGCTGTTCACGGTCATGGCAAACTGCTCCATTGTGGGGATGAACGTCAGCCTGATGCTCAATTCGGTCGGCTTTTATCAGGTGAGACGAGCTTGTCATCATCCTTATTGTTCTTTGTAGGCTTTTTGCATCAATGTGGTTTTGGAGGTTTTGAAGATGGTCAACCTGCGAGTGCTTATCAGGGCGGATAGAGCTGTTCAAGAATCCGAGCAGGTGTGCCTACTGGTGTGGAGTTAGCTGCGGATCTGGTACTTGCTAACCTGGAGAAGGATGCGGCGCAAGGTCCAAATAGCCACAGTATCTTTTCAGACCTGAGGAGTTGGGTTGATGCTAGTATCTTAGACACAGAGAACGGCGGGATGATTGCTAGCATAATGCTAGCTCAATCGCTCTAATCACTTGAGCTGCATGTCTTTGAAGTGCTCTGAGACCGGTCAAAACTCCTCGATGTGACACCAGAACGCTTTGGCTCAGAGGCTTGAAGGGAGATCGAGCTTCGCCGAAAGCTTCACAAGGGGCGACGCGATTGAATAGAACCTGATTCGCATGCCAAGCACTTTTAACGAGGCCTCATGAAATGTACATAACCAATAGCCAACAGCATGCTTGAATGCAGGACCAGAGTTGGTCTTTCGAATGACAGGAACACCGAGATTTGCGCAATCTACAAGATCAATCTCTGCCGAAAAGTGCAGCTTCGAGGTGTGCTTCAATTTCCGAGGCTTGATTTTTATCACATTATTCCCTCTCCAGATGCTCATTGTATACCCTCATCCGCAGATCTTCGATCTGAGCACGATCCCCGTCAAATGCCATTCTGAGTACATTCAACGGCTGAGACCACAGCTGAACCCGTTTACTTTGATCTTAAACCTCTTGTTCTCCTTTCAAGGTTGACTCTCAATCTTAAGTCTGCAGATCTCAAAGCTGAGCATGATACCAGTGAGCTGCGTCTCAATACCTCATCCAAGGGCTGATGTCAAAGGCAGACCCGGTCAAACTGCAACCAGTCTTTCCTCCCTTCGAAAGGTCGTCTTGCTTCAGTTCAATGTGCAGATTCCAGAACCGAGCATGGGTTTCGTGAGCTGCACTATCGGGTGCCTTAACCAACGGCTGGAGTCAAAAGCATAACTGTGTTCCTGCGACGATCTAATCTTTCCATCTCCAGAACAATGTTTTTGAACTGATATCCTGCTGCATCTGCAGATCTCAAAGCTGAGCATGATCCCAGTGAGCTGCGTCTTCGAGTACCTCATCCACGGCAAGACCTTCTCCGCTGAGGTCAAGGCATCCATCGCCGTCGTGCTACTGGGCGTGGGGGTGGTCACCGTGACGGACCTGAACGTCAACTTTGCCGGACTCCTGACTGCCGTGATCGCCGTCGTCTCGACGTCTCTCCAGCAGATCGTAAGGCTCAGGGAGAAACCGTTCGCTCATCGGACGGGTCACATGTTGCTTGGGTAAAATTTTGGGGTTTGAGTCTGACCGAAATCGTGACCGTGACGGACGTGAACGTCAACTTTGCCGGGGGTCCTGAGCGCCGTGACCGCCGTCGTTTTTACGTCCATGCAACAGGTCGTAGCTCGCAACAAAGTCTTGAATCATCGAACGGCTCGAAATGTTTGTTGAAAGACTGACTACGGTCAGCAGCGGCGTCTCCACGTTCCTTCAGCAATTTGTAAGGCATGGAAGGATTGCCTGGCTCATCAGAGAGCTCATCAGAGAGTAACGTTTTGAGTGTACCAAGAGAGTTAGTTGAGTGCAATCAGCGATAGCGATGGCTTCTGTTCCTCGGGCAGATTGCGAGGCTGGAAAGAACCCTCCGTCGGATCGAACGGCTCAGGTTGTGCTGTATCGGATGAACGGCTTGACCGCCGTCATTGTCGTCAGCTTCAGGTCCCTTATTTAGGGAATGAATCAACCCTTCAGGTCATAAGAGCTCAAACCCGATGTCGTCATCAGGTGGCAACAAAACTTTGGCCACTTTTCTGCCGTCATTCCACTCGCATTCAGGCAGCTCCTACGGCTCAGAATGGTTCGCTGAGATAGATCCAAGAGCTCCGAATGAGCCTTTGCGACCCATCTTGCGACTACCTGCTTGTAAGACCAACAGCTGGTTGATCTTCAATGTGTTACACTTTCTTAATTGTTTTTCTGAGGCACTCTCTTCACTGCCAACGGGTTTCTTTGGAAGAAGCCGGCGCAGGATCCCGCACCTCTGCCACCGTATTGATGAAGGCGAGGCGTTCAAATGACTCTCAAGCTACTTCGATTAATAGCCAATCAATACTTGATAAACGAGCAAAAGGCGCCGTGTCGAAACTGAATTGAATCGAAACGGCCGGTTGGAAGATTCGCGTCAAGCCGTTTTGCCTCTTGTTCTTGTGCCAGTTCATCGGCTCCCTCCAGAACAACCACGGCGAAGTTACGAGGCGTGAAAGCAAACAGCTGTGGCCCCTTTCCTTCTCATCAGCAGAGTGTAGGAGTCGCAGGAAGCCTCCGGCTCGTTGAGCGGATCAGATTCAACGAACCCTATGACTTGGCCGTATTCTCCGCAAAGTTCAGTAACTTTTCCGCAGCAAGAAGCAGAGCGCCAAACTTGTGTCACTGACACAACAAGCGAGTGTGCACTGAAAGGAATTTCCAAAAGAATGTTCTCTTAAGCTTCTCATAACTCTTTCGTGCCAGTTCATCGGCTCCCTCCAAAAGAAGCACGGCGTGACGTCCTTCGAGCTCCTCGGCAAAGTCGCGCCCATCCAGGCCGTCACGCTCACGGTCATGGGCCCCTTCGTCGACTACTTCCTCACGAGCCGCCGGGTCATCGACTACCCGTTCTCCGTTCCAGCCCTGGTAAGTTTTGGCGCATTTTGACCAAATAGTCGCTCTTCAAGGGAAAGACTATTCAATTAGTGTACAGTCCTGAAACCCATGGATCTTGAGAAGCGGGCACTCGGAAGAAGACACTTCTCTACTGAATTGATGCCCTTCCGGTTTTCTGAGTTCCCATCGGGTGGTCAAGGAAGGTCTCCGGAAATGACATGATTGTTTGAGCACCCAGAGATTCCGTTTCAGCGGTCACATCGCTGACGTTAGCATTCAAAGAATAGGCCCGAGCGATGTGCAGCTCTGCCACCGTCAAGTCGTCCAGCTCAACCCTTTACTTGCGCTGACGTCACTCAAGACCCGTTTCGCTGACGTTATCACTCAACGCCGAGCAGATTGTTCGTACCACGGGCACTCGCACGGCTTTTCAGTCTTTGGCTTTCAGCGGGCTTGTTGATGCCTTTGCGTAAGCTGACCCCCGGCGCGTGAGAGCGCCCAAAAGCGCCGTCTGATTGCTGACATCGTTGACGTCAGCAACCAGAGCCGAGCCGAAAAGGGCGCCGACGATCGCGGACGTTATCAGTCAGTCGTCGTTGAGTTGACGAGCTGTGCTCTATTTGAGAACTGACGCGCAATCGTCCCATCGCTTATGCAGATGTTCATCGGGCTCTCCTGTGTGCTCGCCGTCTTCTGCAACATCAGCCAGTTCATGTGCATCGGCCGGTTCAGCGCTGTAACTTTCCAGGTAATTGTTCTTATTATTCATCTGTCGAGAAGGAGCTGCCATACGGCGCTTGCCTGTCGGGCTTACGTCATCGTTCCACTGTCGTGCTTCACATTGCGAAACTTTCTGCAAGGATATGCAAAGATGGGTCAGGTCCAAAGCGCCATTTAACCTCGATATCAAGGAACCAGGCGAGAGTCTGGGGCCTTTCATCTCCTTTCTAGTTCGTAGACGCTTTTTGTCCAGAAACTACAGCTCTGCGTTGACACTCTTGGAGTTGCCTTCAAAGGTATGAGTTTCAGTGTTGGCTCAACTGCTCGTTTATGAGCGAGGAAGCGGTTGGGACGTTTGCAAAAATTCACACCTTAGCTGTCCCGTTGGACAAAGCGGTCCGCAAATAGGCTCGTTTAGCGGCAACTTGGAATCTTCCAGCCCCTCGACGTCGACCCTGTCTCCGCCAAGATCGGCCCGTTCCTTTCTTCATTTGCACAGCTCCTCAATCTGTTCTACTCACTCGCCTCACCCTTGACCTCGTCCGTCTAACACTGCCACCACGAGGGCTTCTTGTTCTGCACAAGAGACTCGTTTCTGACTTCTTTCCGAGTCGACTTCTTATTTGTTGAAGAGCGGCATGTACTTCGCTTTTCTGCTTCTCAACTTATCCTGCAAGTGATTGCTGGTGCAGGTTGTCGGTCACATCAAGACGGTTGTAACTCTTCTGTTGCTCTCTTCGCAAGGCGTCTTGTCTTCTCGGCCACATCATGAGCGTCATCTGATCCTTCGAAAGTACTTCCGTGCAGGTTGTCGGTCACATCAAGACCGTCGTGAGCTTTTCGTCCGCTCTCTTCGCAACGGCGTTTTGTTCTCAGTCAGTCTTCGAACTCATCCCCGCGCAGGTTGTCAATCTCATCAAGACCGTCCTGATCCCCGTCACTCTCTCGCAACGGCGTTCTCTTCCTCAATCTTCGCCTCATCCCCGTCCCAGGTTGCTGGTCACATCAATTGCTGGTCACATCAAGACCGACCTGATTCTTCTGTCACTCTTTTCGCAAATGGGTTTATTTCTCATTCTTCAATACATCCCCGTGCAGGTCGTCGGTGACATCAAGAGGGTCCTGATTATCTGTTGCTCCGTTCGGGAGTGGCGATGTGGCCCTCAATCTTCAACCCGTGCAGGTTGTCAGTCACATCAAAACCATTGTAACTCTTCTGATGCTCTCTTCGCAAGGCGTCTTGTCTTCTCGGCCACATCAAGAGCGTTTTTTTTTTCTTCAAACGTGTTCCAGTGCAGGTTGTCGGTCACATCAAGACCGTCGTGAGCTTTCCGTCCGCTCTCTTCGCAACGGCGTTTTGTTCTCAGTCTTCGAACTCGTCCCCGTGCAGGTCTTCGGTCTCATCAAGACCGTCCCGATCCCCGTTACTCCCTCGCAACGGCGTTCTCTTCCTCAAACCCCATCCCCGTCTCAGGTTGCTGGTCACATCAAGTTGCTGGTCAAAGCAAGACCGACCTGATTCTTCTGTCGCTCTCTTCGCAAATGGGTTTATTTCTCACTCTTCAAGACATCCCCGTGCAGGTCGTCGGTCACATCAAGAGGGTCCTGCTTTCCTGTTGCTCGCTTCGGGAATGGCGATGGGGCCCTCAATTCTCGAAACATTCCCGTGCAGGTTGTCAGTCACATCAGAAGTCGTGGGAGGCAAGGCACACAGGGGANAGG